AAGAATACTACTTACTATATATATATATATATATATATATATATTGATTTGTAGAAAAACAAATTTACAAGTAATTTAGATTTGTAGAAAATAAAATAAAATTTAAGCACTACCAGACATCCGTGATCGTTAGATCAACTTAGATTCAATCCGGGCTGTTGGACTCATATTTTCATATAAGCTAGTGGGCCAATCCCAACTTTTTCCATTATATAGGAAATATATATATATATATATATATATATAGTTTTAAAACCCGATAATTTTCGATCATAAAATGGTATGATTCCTGGCCAGATTCTTCCTAAAACCCTCTTGGGCATATTTTGTTTTTTTAATCTTATTTAATGTTGTCTATGGTCTCCAATTCCCCAAACCTCTATTCTTATTTATATTTATTTGTTATTTGGATAGCCGTTCAAGATGATTTGATAACGAATCAAATTGTTGGTCTAGCCAATCAGAACCGAGATTGAGGGTGGATGATTCGCCTCACCAGTACGTTTTTTTTTTTATTACATAATATTTCTCTTTGGGCTAGTCGAAGGACAATTCACTATATACTAATCTTACCTGAAATTAATATAATAATATTATTTTGTTAGTTGCTTAGTGTATAGATATACTATGTATAATATCATTTAACTTTTATCATGTTTAGCCATTTTTGACAAAAAATATACGACTTCTAGCAAATTTCTTTGACTAAAATAAAATCATCTTTCCAAGAAAATGAGGTTGTATGTAAAACTGCCTATAAATTTTTTCCCATAAAACTTCATAATGGTCACGGCTAAACAACAAAATATTTTGTTATCACGATTACTTAAACAGTGGATTTCAAAGATGATTAGTACTTTCCAATAGGTCATTAGAATGCATTCAAGTAAAAACATGCCTTTTTTTTTGCTTCTAGGGAAATATCTTAGACCACTCCAGAAAAAAAAAAAAAAGACTAGTTTCAATAGGAGAAAATATAATTTGAGGGGTCTAGAACCCCTTACTAAATTCTTAAAGTAGATGAAAAGATTCCAATTAAAGGGGTTTACTTTTTCATTTTTATTTCCCTCAAACACCTCATCAAAAAATATTATACAAAATACCTGCATTCTCATTATTCATGGTTGGGAACCTTGAATAACCATTACCATTTACATATTTTTGGTCTATCTCAAATAAGCATAGGTATTCCTATCATTTCAATGGGCTCATTGAGGTCGGTCAAATTACTAAAATACCCTAGTGTTCAGGGTTCTCAATCACAAATAAGAGTGATTTTGGTATTTTTTAATAAATTTTTTAGAAGTTTAGGACTGAAATAAAAATTTCAAACCATCTTTTAATGTTAATTAGAATGTTTTGACTCAATTAATTTGTAAATGATAAAAATGAGGGCTTGTTAGTTGCACACTCTTTGAGGAAGCATGCTACACCTATTCCCTATAGCAATACAACTACGTAAGAAATCTACTTGATGTGAAGTTCTGGGACTCGCTTTAGAATCATAAATTAAGTGAATATTTTAAAAGAAAGAGATATAGAGTTCTTAACCACCTAAATGTGATCATTAAAACTTGAACAATATCCAGTGAATGTTAAGACATTTTTCGGTAGGGCCTGTTTGGGTACATGGATTTTAAGGCATGGATTTTTAATATTTTGGATTTTGCCAAAATCAACGGTTTTAGAGAGAGAAACTATCTCAAATTTTAACTTTTAGAGAGAGAAAGTATGTTAAAATTTTAGAGAGAGAAAGCACGTTAAAATTTTATAGAGAGAGAGAGAAAGTACCAAATTTTTTAGAGAGATGAACTATCTCAAAATTTTAGAGAGAGAAACTATCTCAAATTTTAATTTTTAGAGAGAGAAAGTATATTAAAATTTTATAGAGAGAAAGTAAGTTAAAATTTTAGGGAGAAAAAGTACCAAATGTTTTTAAAGAGATAAACTATCTCAAAATTTTAGAGAGAGAAACTATCTCAAATTTTAATTTTGAAGAGAAACTATCATATTTTAGAGAGAAAAAGTACATGTAAATAAGTTTTTAATGAAAGAGGTGAGAGAAGGGGAGAGAATTACATCATAAAAAGGTAAAAATGGGAAAGAGGAAGGGGCACAACGAACCTAGTAAAAAAGTAATGTCACCAAGAAAAAAAGGGATAACTATTCAATGAAGAAAATAAGAGATAAGGGAAAGAAAAGAAGATCTACACTACTGAATGAGAAGGACAAGGAAGAGAAGGAAATATGACCAATCGAAAGGAAATAAATGCAAACCTACATAGGGAGAAATGATCATGCAATAAAGAAGATAAAAGAATAAAGAAATGATAAAATCTAACTAAGGATATTAACTACTACTTTGAAAGAGGGAGAGGGGAATGTAAATAAGGTCATAAATAAGGGGAAAAAAATGGAGAATGCACATGTATAGCTATTAAATAAAAATAAATGCAAGAGGCAAAAGAGGAGAGAAGGAAAAGCTAAATCATGAAAGGAAGGAAGAAAAGAAGAAAACCATAACTATAACTCATTAATGAAAATAAATTGTCAAGGCGCCTCCCCCTGACCCCTTGCCGGAGGGCAACAAAGTGCGGGATCACGGCCAGAGGTCGAGAACGTCACTTAGGTGGGAGTGGCTCAACGAGTTTAGAAATACGGAATCAAAACAAACCACGAAAGAAAATAAAACTCAATCATCAAGCATCATAAAACTGCACAACTTAAAACCTTTATATACATATATAATCTCCAAAGGTTCTTTACAATTATGTCCAAGGCACTATCGACTTGACAATGTTTCATCAAAACAACATTGTGGCACCGCCTCTTGACTCCTCTTGATTAGTCCCGAGCTTCAGTCGTTGCCACAATTGTCCAATTGCCCACTCTCAAGAATCGGAGGTTATCACTCTACACAGGGAAGAAAATAAGAGGAATGAGATAAAAGCCCTGTAAGTAGATCAGTGCCCTGCATTCCCACCTTCATGCACACAATAAGATAATGTGGTCTGCAGATCATCACAATTCATGCGAGTCACAAAGTAAAGTCATGCATCACAATTCATTAGCAATGTAAAACAGAGTATGATTCTGTAACAATTTAAAACTTTCAAAAAAAAAAAAAGAAACTTTTAATAAATGATGGTCCATATGAGCATGATAGTCCTTAGGGACCATCACCATTTTCAAAGCTTTTAGTTTGAGTTTGTTCGTTTGCTCCTGCCTTGCCACGTCCAGTGGACGTGGACTTTAAGTGTATAAGAGGTAATAAAAACGTTACACCTCGTGTATGAGTTGTAACTTAATAAAATATTATTATAAGGTGTCGTAAGAGTTTAAATACGAGAGGCGAGGTTTCTCTCTCTCTCTCTCTCTCTAGCCGAATTTTTATCGGAAGCTCTCTCACAAAATATTTTAGGTAAGTGACATCATCTTCCTTAAAAATATTCTGTTTTCAATAAATAGTGATATTTCCGTCCAGGGTCTTTATTTTATAAGCTTTGTGTGTAAGTGACCTCATTGTCTCGAAAAATAATCCATTCTTTTTAAAAATAAAATGAAATAATTATTTCTACTTATTATCATGAATTTTAGGCGCAATAAATTTTATGCGCACGCGACCTCATTATCTTGAAAAATAATCTTTTTAATAAAAATTGTGATATTTTATCTATGTTAGAAATTTTAAATGCTGTAAATTCTTAGAAATAAATTTATTTATTTTTCTTGTCGATTGTTAGAAAATTTTAGATATTGTAAAATTATTAGAAATAAATGTGATAATTCTGCTTTTACTAAAATTGTGAGATTTCTTTCTACTGCTTTTTTTATATTTAGACATTGTAAAATTCATGTGCAAATGACTTCCTTATTATTTAAAAATTGATATTTTTGCAATTGATTATAGCATTGTTGTGAAATGTTTATTTGTGAATTGATATCCCATAAATTGTGATAATTCTGTATTCTTGAATTTTTATAAGAGTTTTTCTATACATATTAAAGTGGCAATTATGCTAGAATGTCTTTACAAACTGCTACCTTTCTAAATTTGAGCCCAAAATATTTGATTGGTTATTTTTGAAATGTTATTGAAAGTGACTATTATTAATGGTTTCAGTGAAATTCATATTAATGATTTCAGTAATATGTTGAGTACATGATATTTGCTGCTTTCGAATGTTTAAAGAGATTTAGAAATAATTTAAGTATGCAAGTGGACTCATCCCGTTCGCCGGTGAGGTATAAGTGAACCTATCCGGGACGCCGGTAGGGATTAAGTGGACTCATCCGGTACGCCGGTGAGGTATAAGTGGACCTGCAGGGATTAAGTGGACATATCTGGGACGTCGATAGGGATTAAGTGGACCCATCAGGATGCTGATGGGGTATATAGGTGACCTACTTGGGACGCCAGTAGGGTATTTTGTGAAATCCTTTGAATTATGCACTACCGTTAAAGTGTTATATACATTTCAATTATTCGGATTATACTTAATTATGCATTTATTGAAAGTGAAACTGTTGATGCATTTCTGTTA